ATCAGCCTATAAAAATAAAAACAAAGTTTCTTACAAAAATTTTACCTGATCAGGAGATGGTGTCACAATTTGATTATTTGCATATCGAATTCGAGGACTTGATCGAACACCAATCACAATTCTATTTGAGGTAACATCAACAGAAATGCCAAAAGCACGGAGCACAGCATTAGTTTGGTCAAAAACGCCCATTTCATTAGCATGTCGTATAATTTTGTCAAAACGTTCTTGTGGAAGAATAGAATTGGCCTAAATAGAGTCCAATTTAAATTTATATTAAAAATTTAACAAACAGATAAAAGCCTCGAAGTTAAATTCTTGTCCAGCTTTTCCATTGGCAGACGCTGATCTTCCATTATTATCAATTGTTCAACGGGAAAAAGCTCAGTTTGACGTCCTTTTGGAACTGGAGTATTCGGCATAACAGCAGGAAAATGGGGGAATTCTAAAGTAATCCCATAACGACGTTGAAAATAAATATGCATTGGAAGCTTTTTTCCTTGATAGGAACACCTAAGAAAATTTGGGAAAGTTCAATATAACAAAGAAAACAAACATGGTCTCAGACATGGGCCTGTCCATGAAACGCCCAAGAGCAAAAGTACGGTGGCGAGCATAAGCAACCTCAACACGAACATCTCCCAAAATTGCGCGGATTCTTGGCCAATCATTCATTTGTGGTTGACGCCCATTAGTTATAGCCATAATTGTTGCAATCAAGTCCTGTGCTTCATAAAATGGTGAGACTTTCGCTAAAAATTGAACAATTAAAAACACAATTTGAAAATAAACAAACTATCAAGAACAAGAGCAGGCGCAGGATCTCCATAATTGTGAACAATACGTACACCCTTTGCGACTCCAGAACGCATAACAATTCCATTTCCAACGTTAACTTGATTCTCGGGTGTAATTTCGTAAAGCTTTCCAACACCAACTGGTGCATATTGATTGCTGGCAAAATTTAAATTAAAAAACATTTGAACTAAAACTCACTTATTAATGGAGAATTGTGTAAGCGCCATCTCAAGAAAAGTGCGAAGAGTTCTGTCCTCATCAAACATAGACTTACGCGATTTGTACTGCTCCATGTCCGACAAATCAAGTACTGGGCATTGTGCATTTGGAGTAACAGAAACAGAAAAATCGGCGACACCCATATAAGTTCGGACATACTCATTAACATCGTCATTGGAAATGAGAATTTTAGGCTAAAAGTATGAAATAACAAAAAAATAAACACTAAGAAACCTCTGCCATGTTGATTGGAGCAGAAGTGTACATCAAGCTCTTGCAGTTGTAGACAATCTCACTTCCAACAGGCATCCCAAAAGCGTTGGTTTTCCCATACGCCACAGTCAACAACTCGTAGCAAATGTTGCGATGAAGCGCTCGTTGTCCACTGAAATTTGAGGGATTGATAAAATTTAAGGACCAAGGACAGACACTAAACCGACACAAGAGAAAACTCCCACAAGGCAATCCTAATCTTAAAATATAAACATACTCGTCCGCTCCCTTCGACAAGTTCTTCTGTTTGGTAACGTTTTGAACGTCAACATCATAGCGATAGGCCATTTTTCCCTTCTCGACGGTAATAAGAAACATTGAACAGAGCCCATGTTGATCCTTGATTCGAAAGTCCTTTGCAGGTTCAGCAATTGCCTTCTTAAAACGAGAAAATGATTTAAGTTTGTAAATATTCAAATTACAAGTTTGCGCTTCTTACGCTTCTCCTTCTTATCAGCGGTAGTGGTTGACATTTTACAAATACTTTACTTTATGTTGAGAAAAATAAAAGGATAAATTAAGGAAATCTAAAATTAGAAAAAAAACTTTATAGAAACGTTAAACACTACGCAGTAAACAAAATAACGAAAAATATTAAAAAAAACCTAACGCAATTAAATAAATTAATAAAATCACAAAGCAAACTAAAAATGATTAAGTGAATGAAAAGTTAGAAGCTTAAATACTGCAGTCGAGAATCTTCTGTCATCGTTTTGGCGTTATGTTTAGATTACTGTATTTTGCTTTAAATTTAAATGTGGTTGTAATTGGAGTCTGATATGGGGTTGATGTAGTCCAGTCCCATTTCTCGTTCTTAATGAAATGTACAGCAGGAAACAAGCTTACATAAAAGATAAATGTCCGATTTTGAGATTCGGAAACGTGACTTATGTGAGTGTTTAAATATTTTAGATTTTTGGCATTTTCTGCAAAAAAATAAAAATTTTCCGTCATTTTTTAACCGGAAAAAGTAGAAACCCAATTTTCCTGGTCCCAGGTTACTCAGTTTTTTTATAGTTCCATTTTCCGGGTTTTCAGAACTTCAGGCCCTTGCAATGGCTGATTCAGTCTCACATAATTTTTCCCTTTTTGAGTACGCGGCATAAACTCTGTGTTCTTTTCTTTCATCATTTGAATGACTAAAAAACATTCTACATATTTATTCTTTTCAGCAGAGAAAAAATAAATTGATTTTTGTTAAATAATTATTCTCATTTTTTATATTGTGCAAAGTTTTTTAAGGCAAAATTTATTGGAACAATGGGTAAGTATTGAAAATTTAATTTTTTATTTTCTTAAAAAAAATTTTTTTAGATGTTGACAAGTTGCAAGTTGGAGACCTCGTTGCATGTGAAATGACTGCTGGCTTTAAAAATGTTATTGTAAGTTTTGCTTAAATAATTTCCAAATTTTGAACTTAAAAAGCCCCAATTTTACTTTCCCTTCTCTATTTTTTACTTAAAAATATCAATTTTAAGCATCGAGGTGTTTATGTAGGCGAAACAGAGGGAATTGGTGAACACACAATTATTCATAATTTTTGTGCTTATTGTACAAGGAATTCTAATGGAGAAATAGAAGGTAGCGAACAAAATTGGATTACTGATGCAAAAATGGCTTTTAATGTGAAAACGGGTGGGGGAATAGTTATTTGGACGGTGGAGGATTTTCGTAATTCAGCAAATAATTATAAATGGTGGATTGATAATATGGAAGGAACATTGGGAAAAGCTAAATTTAGTGGTAATGAAGTGGTTGAAAGAGCGAGGAAAGAGGTGGGAAATTAAAAAAAATTAATTTTAAAATATTTAATTACTAGTATGATTAACATTAGAAATTGCAAAAAATAATAAGCGTAAAAACTAATATTATTTTTACTAAGGGTAATTTAAATACTGTTTTTTGTTCCATCCACCTCCTCACCCTTATATTTTTATATTTAGGAATTACGGGGTCGGGACCAGGGCTGCACGCAATTGCAAGTTGTGGACTGCGTAAATTGCGGGGGTTTTTGCAATTGCCGGATTGCGTATTTTTAAAAAGAAATAGCGAGTTGCGGATTTTTTCAATTGCGTGCAGTCAAGATAACCTTATAAAAAGATTTCGACCACCCTTAACTTTACCAGTCATGAGCTCGTTTGATAAAAAGTAATAATCCAAAAATAAAATTTTCAGCGCCTATCCATTTTGTTGAATGATTCATTGTATTCACATAAATATTTACATCAATTACCAACATATTTTTTTCGTTTCTAGGAGTATCTTAGGGATTACAAGATAATTTTTAGTTTAACCTACCAAAAATTTAAATTTTTTAATTTTCTATACAGCTAGGAAAAAGAGAATATCGCCTTTGGACATGGAATTGCGAACATTTTGCAACTTGGTGTAAATTTGGAGAAGCAAAAAGTCCTCAAATTAAATCATTGTGCAATATTGTTTGACATTTTTATTTAAATTTTAAAGAAAAAAATTTTTAAGTTTTAAAAATAAAATTCCTCTTTAATTATTATAATACGCGCTTTATTTATTTTAAATGCACTTATTAATTTATAATCAATACATAAAATATTTTCTGTAACTTTGCGAGTGATTTATTCAGATCTTTTCTTGTCTAATGAATATTAATTTACATTTAATTATTGAAATAAACTCGAAAAATAGACAAAAAAGAAGGCCCAAGTTTATTCCCTCCACACCTCCTAATTTTGAAATTATCGCAAAGAAATTAAAGATTTTATTCTTTAAACGATGATAAATAACAGAAATAGATATTGGAATTGTGTGGAAATTTTGTTAAAAATGTTGTACATATTTTTAAATTATGGGTATTTAATAGGTTTAGTTTTATTGCCATAAATGTACGTGGTGGATATGTCAATTAAAATTAAAGGTGCTAACAATAAACAATTTTTAAAGACTGTGTGTAAGTGAATAGAAAAGTAAAGTTAACTCTGTTATAAAATCATTAAGAATTTTAAGGAAAATCTTCAAATACGGACAGAGGAAGTGGGGGGAGGGGGAATTATAACTTGATTTAACTTTTTAAAATTAAGTGAAGGAATAATATGTATTAAGGATTCATATAACAACTCAAAGTAACTTGTAGTAATGAAAAGTAGAATTTTTCACAAATATTATAATCAGGGTGGCTCTTTCCAAATCACCAAAAGGGGCATGGCTTCCCAAAAAAGGGGCGAGAAGGTCAAAAAGGGAGCAAATGCCTTCCAAACGAGGCAAAGATCCACCCTGCTTATAATTAAAATAATGCTATTAAAGTTATGCTGTAAAAATGTTAAATAATTTCAAAAGTTTTTCAGAAAATGGACCGAAGATACCATCGAAAATATTGGATTGTTTGCCTCTTTAAAAAATACAAAAATACATTCTACTTTAAAAAGCAAATATACCATCATATTTATATTTTTTAGAAAAAACATGCGCGAAAATAATTTAAATATACATATTATTTGGCAATTAACATAAAATTATAAAGATATATTAACTGTGCAATATTACAAAAAATATAGGAAAATTGCACAAAAAGATGGGAACAATTAAAAGAAAATATTTTTTGGAATGAGTTTTTATTTGGGATAATTTGCAAATTTTTTTTTTCAAATTTAATACTTTCAAATCCTCCTATTTTTACATTAAAAAATATTTGCAAACTTAAAATATATATTTAACAATTTATTTATATATTTTTTTTATGTTGAAGCTGACGCTTCTGTCGTTGTGGCATTAGCAATTATTTTTACCAAATCTCCCGTACGTCTAGATTCAACATCCATGCTTTGAAGTCTGGCTTGTCTCCATTCTCTGCCTTAAACGATTTTCCAGTTTTTTTTAAATTTTAAATTTTTACGTTTTTCAATTTCTGCAGCTCTTTGGCTAAGTGAAGAACTTGCTCTAGATTGAGGGGTATCACTTCGTTGCTGATCAGTAGTGCCATTTGCCATTAATGGAGATGAAGCAATTCTATCCCTTTCAGCTCTAATTTCAGCTTTCTTTGTTCGAATTATTGAAGGCTGGTCAGATCGACTAAAAATTTAAACTAGGGTAGCATCCCGTCACCCAAAACCCCGACGAATTTTTAATAAAAACCCCGACCCGAACCCCGAAGACTCTACCCCGATCCCCGACGCTCATCCACGTGCGGGCAAAACTCCGGCTATTTTTTGGCAAAAACCCCAACAATCCCGCCCCCGAAGGCTCTGGGTGCTACCCTAATTAAACAAAAGAAATCCCCCTTCCCTCTCCCCCCTCTCAATTTACCTATCATTAAGTAAAGAGTCTAGCTGTTCAACAGAATTTAAATGTTCCTCTTCTTCATCCTCTTCTTGTAAAGAAAAATCATTTCCCAAAACTTTTTTATTATTTAGAGACCCAAAAGATGTTTCTCGAAGTCTTTCCATTTCTTGAGGATTAACTAAAGGCTTCTTTAACGGAATTCCTGAAGGACGTTGTGGAATTGTTGTAACATTTCCAACATTTGTTGAAACAGAATTATTGGTCGTCTGCAAATGCTCGAATAACTTCAGTTTGGAACTGAATGACGGCCCGGACGACTGCTTTGAATTATTCTGTTCAATTGAAGGAATATTTGTTGATTTTGTTGAATTTATTGATGAATCATGTGTCACCTTTAAAAATTATATTTTTTAATTTGCGAAAATAACTCGGTTTTAATTAGGGTTGCGACCCGAATACTCGGAGCGGGAGTGTCGGGGTACGGGGCTTTCGAATTGTTTCGGGGCGGGGTTCTGGCCGGGGATCAAAATAAGGTCGGGGTTCGGGTCGAGGTACGGGAGTTTAATGGAAAAAAATTTTAAAGAAAAAATGCTCTAAAAATAAGCCGTTTTCGGTCTATTTTCGTTAATTTATTCAAAAATTTATTAGAATAAAATAACTCGGTTTTAATTAAACAAAAAATTTTTTCTTTTAAATTAAAATTCAAACCAACCTTAGGTTTTGGAGCAATTGGGGGAGGAATTTTACTATTTCCAACATCAATTACTGGAGGAATGCTATTTGTCGTTGGTTTTGGGATGTGTGAAGACTTGTTGTTTTGTGATAAATTTGAAATAATTTCTTGTGGTGGAATAGGCGTTGAAGTAGCCAAAGGTTTTTCTATTTTTGAAGGTTTTGTAGAAAATCCATTATTGTTTATATAATTCGTTGCTTTTTGTGTTGGAGAAAAAGAAGTATTTCGATTATTGGAAGGGGAAGATAAAATTTTTGCCGGTGAAGGAGGCAAAATACTTGAAAAATTTGTTGGCTTTGATTGTTGATTAACAGCATTATTTGATTTTATTTGGGTGGATAACTAGAAAAAATATTATTAATTAAAAAGAATAAAATAATTATAAAAAATAACCGTTTGTTGTTTATTTTCATTATTATTATTAACAAAATTATTTTGACTAAATATTTTTGGTTCTTCTCCAGGTGGGTATTCTATTGGTGTTGAAGAACGTAACATTTCGGGAGTTATTTTATTTCCTCCTTCAATTTCTGCCAAATTGCTTAGTGAACGATGATGTCGAGGAAGTGGAAGAGGTGGTCTAGTTGCAGAAAATGCCGTTGTTGGGTTGGATCGAAGACTTGAATGGCGATTGAAATGGTGTTGTTGTTGAAGTTGAGAAATATTTTTATTTTGAGGAGGGACAGAAGAAACACCTAAATATTTTTTAAAAATATTCAGAAAAAAAATAAAAACCATTAATTATTGGTTTCTTTTGATTTTGTTGTTGATTAGCCAATTCATTAGTTACAATACACAAAGATGGTAAAGAACGTGAAAGACTCAATTCAGTAAAAGCTGTACTACATGTTAATGGAGTAACTTGAAGATTATCATTTTGGACATTGTCAGGTAAATAATTGCCTCTCTCAATACCAACTGTTACATTTGTCCCTGGCAATCCAGTCAAAAGAGTTCGGACCTAAAAATTAAATGACATGGTCTTCTTGGGGGAGAATTTTTTTAAACAAAAAACAAGAACCTGATCTAATCTAGCGCCAAATTTAACATTTGTTCCATCAATTGAAATAATTCTATCACCCGGCAAAAGTGGACATTCAATACTTGTTTTAATTGCCGAAATAGAGAACGGGTCTTGTGGCCATCTTCCATTACCAGAAACAGTGAAAGGAACACAACCATTCCCATCACGAATAATACGAAAAGAGTGACGCTCATTAGGTTTTGAAGCAGGAAAAGCTTGTTGTGTTGCAAGACAAGAAGTTGAGCGTTGCTTAAGAATAAAAATTATTTAAAGAAAAAATGATTTTTAAACCATTTGATCATCAATAATTTGATCTCTTTCCACCAAAAATTCCAAAACATTCCCAGCATTTTTAATAAATTTCACAACATCAGAATGACTAAGTCCTCGAATGTCATCGCCATTAACAGCAAGTATTTGGTCATCAACTCGGAATCCAGCCTTTTCAGCTACACCACCAGGAACAAGTTGAGAAATGAAAAGACCGTTTTTACCCTATAAAAATAAAAATGAAGTCAAAAACTTTTCTCAAAAAATATAAACATTGTAAGGAAGAGAATCAGATCCTCCCACAATTGTCCATTGAAATCCTGCATCTCCTCTCTTCAATTGAATATTTTTCCGAACAGATTTTTTAATTTTCATTCCTGCCGTTTCTCCATTTTCTGTTGAATTGTTATTTGCTCCCAATAATGCAGGCAATAATTCAGAAGTAGAAATTAATGAAAGAACAGATTGGGGTCGCCTTTTGAGAACAGAACGAAGTGGACGACTTTCCTCGATAACTGACTGATCATTTGATTTATTTCCAGAAATGTTCTGGGCCTTTAAAATTAAAAAAAGACTGCCTAAAAACTGGAAACAAAAAATAAACCTCAGATTTTTCACTTCTAGAAGAGCTTAAAGGAAGAGTAACACCTGCAGAAAGTTCAGTAGAATTTCTATTTCTATTTTTTGGTGCAAAAGGTTTTGGGTGTGGAGTATCATAACGTTCAAATTTCCCAATCGGAACTTTATCTTCTTCAAATTCTTCAGCCCGATCACCAGCAAAACATACACGAGCACCTCCAACGCAAGAAGAGGTTTTGAGTTGTGAAGATTGTTTTTGTGGTTGTTCTTGTTGAGGAAGTAAATAACAAGTGAGCACCTTAAAAATTTATAAGTTTAAGATCATCGAGATGAATCAAAATCGCGTTTAGATTCTAAACCAATGTGATTCCCGTCGCCGGAAATTTAATGCAAGAAATGTGGTTTTTTGGTAGTATCATAAGGCTAAGGCCATGGCAAGCAAGAAAAAGGTTTAGGGTTAAATGATCTGGGTGATTTTCCAGTGTTCATATGATAACGACCCAGATGTTCGAAACCCAATACGAAAAAATATTCAAACTAGTATTATAACTTCTACCCTATTTCACAATCTAATTGTAAGAAAAACTTTAAAAATAAACAAACCTTAACATTCGTAATCGGAGCATTTATAGTACTTAATTTGGGTAATGATGGTTGATTAAATGAAAGCCACAAAGCATTTAGAGTTTTAGCTTTGTAAAGAACCCTATAAAAATTCAAAATATTTTTTCTTCAAAATATTTTTAAAAATACGTTAATGTATAAGGCAAATATTTCAAATTATTGTCAATTAAATCAAGAACTTGTAAATTCTAAAAAATATATTTTAAAAAATTAAAAATTAAGCAAACATTTAATCTTCCAATTTCAAAAGGCAAATCATTTATTTGATTATGACGAAGTGAAAGAATTGTTAAAGATGAGCACCCACCAATTGTTGAAGGAATAGAGCGTAAATTGTTTACATTAACATCCAAAAAACGGAGCTGTAAATTTTAAAATTAATTTTTAGATTCTTTTGTTAATTTCTAAATCGAGGAAAATGAAGTAAGGAAGAGCAAAAACGACTAAAATTGAATGGAAATGCCTTATAAGATTGAAAGGGTGTATCCAGGAAAGAAGAGGTTCCTTTCAAATTTTCAAAGATCCAATTCTAGCTTCCCAAAATCAGACCTACATAAGTCTTTAACATAACAAGGATAAATCCATAAATAAAAAAGGAAAGAACAAAAACAATATTTAAATTATTTAAACTTACTTTAGAAAGATTCCCAATACTTGCTGGTAATTCCTTTAAAATAATTTTTTAAAAAAATTTTAAAAAATAAAAAAAACATTTAATCGATTCTCGCAAAGAATTAAATCTGTTAATTGAACACAAGAGCAAATTGAGGGAGTCAATTCTGACAAACAATTTTTTGCGCATTTGAGTGATTCGAGACGTTTTAATTGACCTTCAAAAAATTTTTAATTTTTAAAAAATTAAAAAAAACAAACCAATAGAGCTCGGCAATTGTCTAATTTGATTTTCGCAAATAGTCAATTCCATCAAATTTTTCAAATCCCCAATATTTGCCGGTAACTCATTTAATTGATTTCCACTCATATCAAGAGACCGCAAAGCTCCACAATTTAAAAGACTTTCAGGTAAATGACTGACCATATTGCAATGAAGATCCAACATTTCCAAACTAACTAAACCTCCCATTTCTGAGGGAAGATCTGTCAAATAATTGTCACAAAGATCCAAAACTTTTAAAAGACGTAGACGAACAATTGAGGGGGGCAAAGCACGCAATTCACATTGGGCAATGTCCAAAAACTTTAAAAAATTGATTGAGAGTAAAAATTGAATTCCAAGACAGATAGATTAGTATTTTAAAAATTTTAGAGAATTCTTTTGTCACCAGAAATTTTTAATGATTTTTAATTGATCTAAATTTATTTGATTAATCTTTACTATTTTCTCGTAATTTATTTTTATAGAAAATTGAAAGATGTACTCCTAGACAAAGTTACTTATATGAAAAATTCAAAAATTCGTCACGAAAAGATTTTTAATGAAAAATCTCTCTAATTAAAGCCTTCGAAAAAGATATTCCGAAAAATGATTAGGCAAAAAAAAAAAGACCCATTCTATTCAAAATAAAAAATTTAAATAAAAACCTGTAAATTAACAAGATGATCAATATCAGCCGGCAAATGTGTAAGTGAATTATTTGATAAATTAAGACTTGCTAAATTGGTTAAATCCACAAATGATTTTGGAAAACTTAAAAAAAAACAAAATTTCAACTAAAATAAAATTAATCTATCGCCGAAAATTGTTTAAAATATTTTCTTATCGTTGGTGGTCCTTCGGGGGGAATAGGGGTAAAAAATAGAATTGAATAACCCCAAAAAAGACGATTTAGAGGTTATTTTTCTTTTAAGCTTTCAACAAAATATTTTTTTGAATTCTCGAATTATCTAAAAGGTTTATTGTTTATTTTTTGTTGCGTAACAGAACAAAAAAATTTTTTTTTTAAAAATAGCCCAAATATTAAAAATATTTTCGGAGATGGAAATAAAATTTAAAGAAAAAAATTACCCAGTTAAAATATTTGTACTAATATCCAAACAAACAAGATTTTGACAACAACCAATTTCTTCTGGAATTTCAACAATTTCTACAAAAAAAAAAATTAAATTTAAAAAATTAAAAAAAATTTTTTTATACCATTTTTACTTAAATTTAATTCCTCCAAAGAAAATAACATTCCAATTTCTGTAGGTATTACTTTAATTTTATTTTCGCTAACATCAAGTTTGCGGATTTTTGTGCAACGAAATAAATCCTGGAAATAAATTTTTTTCAAGGAAATTGTGATTTAAAATAAATTGTAGAGCATTTCGAGCCCTGTGAATATTTTATCCAATGGGGAAATTAGAAATTGAGACAACAAATTTATAAAAATATATTATAGACAAGTTGGAAGGGGGGGGGGGAGGTGTTGTAAATTTGAAGTGAAATAAGAACAAAATTCGGAGTCTTAAGGAAAATTTAGCTTGTTTGATAATAATCCGTCTTGTTTGATTGTAAGCAAAAATTAGAAAGGCAATCTGGATGGAAGAAAGGAAAAAGTCTGACCATTTTGCAAAAATAGGGAAAATTGGGGAGGAAAAAAGGGGGTCTGTCCGATTCAATACTACCGAATTTAGTCAATCGGAAAGTGAATCTCACATCCCATATAACACCCAAAATAAATTTAAAAAAATTTTCCAATTTACCGGTGGAAGTTCTTCAATAGAATTAACATTAAGCAATAATTCCTCTATATATTTTCTGCTTTTTATAATTTCTTTGGGCACACTTTCCAATTTAAGTTGGCTAAAATCTGATTGTTCCACAACGCCATTTTTACATGCAAAAAGTGAAGGAATACAAAAGAATTTCATTTAGAATTTAAATTGCACTTTTTCAAAGTCAATTAAATGATAAAAATAAATAACAATCGTAAATTTATTTTAGGCAGTGACCTGAAAATTAAAAATAAAAACTGTTTATAATTAAATTAAAAATAAAAAAAACAATTTTAACAGAATTAATTTTAAAAGAAAAAAGATTTTTGTGTTGCCTGTTTTCTTTATAATCAAAAAATTCGGATAAAAGCTTTCAGCATTATCCCACTACACCAAAGTGGCAACTCCCTTGGGGTGGTTACATTTAAGCAGTTATGTTGCTGTATGTTCAACAGCGTAACTGATCAGTTGATTTTTACAAAAAGTCAAAGAATAAGCTTGACACTCAACCGACAACACCAAAGTGACCGTTTATTTTCTTTAATTTTGGCATTTATTCAAAAATTTTCTAAGAATTTTTTCAGTAAATTTATTAAAAACAGTGCGCGAGATGAAATATTTTCATTTGTTTTTGTATAAAAGAGTAAATTTATGCACACCTAAATTGACCACAGTCGTAAATAATCAATGCGCAACCAAAAGCTGCAAAAGCAAAGGCTTACTGCGCAGTATGTTCCATTCTGGGTTGCTATAGGTACTTCAAATAATTAAAGGTGTAAGGGGAACGGCACGCATGGGTGAGTTCCGATTAATTTTTATGGAATGAGAAAAATGTCCAGTATTTACAAAAAAAACATCAAAAAACACCGAAATTGTACACATTCCCGATAAAAATTTTTTTGGAGAAAAGAGGGGGGGAATGTCCCATTTGGATGGGTAAACAAACAAACACTCAACCAATCTCGACAAAAATCGATGACGGGAATTTTATGAATAAATATATTAGCAAATAGATTACACCTTTCCCTCTCCGACGATAGTAGACGAATGTTGAAAGAAATGACCTTGTTTTCCAGGCCTAGGTGAGTCAGCAAAACTGCGCTAGGCAGCGGTGGAGACACAATATTTTTGGAATTATTCAGACTAGTATAGTTGCTAGAAACTAATAAATGCTAATTCCCCCTTTTAATAAGCATGGGTATAGTTTCGAAAATTTCAGGCTATTTTAGTAATAGATAAGCAAAACAAACAAAAAAACTGTCCCGTTTTCGATTAAAAATTATTTTAGTTAGTCTTTTGCATATTCAATTTTATACAATATTTATTTGAAAACATTTAAAAATTGGAATAATAAAAAGATATTAAAATAATAAGTTGCGCAAAATTTGTTGGGGTTTGAGAGGATAAAATTATGTGGTCAAAAGGGAAGCACCAGGGGCAACGGGTCTTGGACAAAAAAAAAGTGAACCAAAAATAAAGAGCATGAAAACGTTTTAAACATCATTCGAAATTTCCAAAATAACTGTATAGACAAATCTGATTTCCCAGAAAATATTTTTAATAAAATTTTCGAATGACTTAAAAGTGCAATAATTATTTTTATAATTAACAAAAAAAACTCCCAAAATAAAAACTGAACAAAATATAACAAAACAAAAGCATATTAAAAACAAGAAAATTAGGTGCAACAAAAATAAATTGCACAGAATAACTTACAAAAGTTTAGGAATGAAAAAGTTCGCATAGTTTTTAAAAAAAATTAAAATATCTTGTAAAAAAATTTTTTGTTGCGAACTCTATTTTTAATATTTAATTTAAATTTATCTGGTAGTTTCTGTCGTTGTGGCATTAGCAATTATTTTTACCAAATCTCCCGTACGTCTAGATTCAACATCCATACTTTGAAGTCTAGCTTGTCTCCATTCTCTGCCTAAAAAGGGAATATTTTTTGAATAATAAATCCAAAAAGTTCTCACAAATAAATACTCACGTTTCTCAATTTCCGCTGCTTTCTGACTAAAAGAAGGACTATCTCTAGACAAAGGGGTGTCAGTTGGTTGCTCGTTAGTGCCATTTGTTATGAAAGGAGATGAAGCAATCCGATCCTTTTCAGCTCTGATTTCAGCTTTCTTTGTGCGAATTATTGAAGGTTGTTGGTCAGAGCGGCTAAATAAACAAAATAAAAACCTAGAAAAATAATTTAAACAAAAATTATACCCATCCAAAAGAAACGAGTCAAGTTGTTCAACTGTTGAATTTAGATGCTCTTCTTGTGGAGAAAAATCATTCAAAGCGTTGATTCTTTTATCATTAGAACCACCAACTTCCCGAAGTCTTTCCATTTCCTGAGCACTAATTAGCGGCTTTTTTGGTGGAATTCCAGGTAGGCGTTGTGGCCTATTCGATATATTATTATTTGTTGAAGCAGAATTAGCTGATTGCAAATGCTCGAATAACTTCAGCTTGGAGCTGAATGACGGGTCGGTTGCTTGCTTTGGATTATTCTGTTCAATTGAAGGTGTGACTACCATGTTTGAAGTGTTTGTGTTAATTTTTGCTGTATCTACCTACAAAAAAGAAAATTATAATCCGATAATTATTATTAGTTGTTAGGTACCGAATTAATTGTTTGTTGACTTGGATCAAAAACAGAGTGACTGGGGAAATCTTCAACTGGCGTTAAAATTTTTGCTGGTGAAGGAGGCAAGATTGAGAAATTTGTAGAATTAGATGTTGAAATAATCTTAGCCGGTTGTTGTTGACTGGCTTGATTTGATAACTAAAAAAATAAAAATTAAATAAAAAAATTAATTCAAAACAACATTTTGTTGTTGTTTTTGTTGCATATTTTCACTGTTAACATAATTATTTTGAATAATTTCTGGTTCTTTTCTCGGAGAATATTCAATTGGAGTTGAAGAAGATAACATCTCTGAAGCAATTTTATTTTCTTTTTCAATTTCTGTTAAATTGTTTTGTGAATGATTTGAAAGTGGTAATCCTAAGTCATTTAAAGTAGGCGCATTTAAAGATGTAGGAGAAGTTGCAACAGTAATAGAGGATATTTGTGGACGAAGGGCGGAATTGACAGATGGAGGAGATAAACCATCGCAAATAAGTAAGCGAACAGCGCCTGGGGCGGAGCGTCGAAATATTTGAGCGGCTTCCTCTTTTGTACAGCCAAGCAATGAATCATCATTAACCTGAATTTTAAAGAATAAATAAGCTGCAATTTTTATGACTCATTTAAAATGTAAAAGAGAGAGAGAAAAGGAAATTTTAAGATTTAAGAGATCAAGATATAAAAATAAAACTTTCTATTTACCTCCAAGATGCGTAAACCAACGCAAAGCCCAACATTGCTTATTGCTGCAGGTCCCATGTTTTCAACTCGCTCAATAAATATTCCTTCATCTGTAGAATCTTCAGGATTTACAGGCGTGCCGCCAATTCCTCCACAAATGCTCAAGCCAAGCGGTTCGTGTAATTGACGTTGAATAATTGCAGAGCGCAATCCTTTTGGCTGTGGTTCATGACAAACAGTTAGACGGATTGAACAACCAGTTGACTTAAGGATCTTTAAATAAAAATATTTACTCATAAATTGAAGTTAATAAAAACCTCAACAGCCTCATTATGTTTTGCACGCGAAATATCAGCATCATTAACTTTTAAAATACGATCACCAATTCGTAAATTTCCACAAATTGCCGCTGGAGAACGCTGCGTTATTTTTGAAATAAAAACACCAGGCTTTAAAGAAGAACCAAAAGGATGAGAACAATGATCAACGCCACCGACAATTGATAATCCAAGAGAATTAGCTGTACTATCTCTAACAAGTACAATATCTTCTATGGAGCCATCAATTATAATTAAATTAGAAGGGGGATTTTTATTTGTAGTTGTTTTAGAAGTAATATTAATATATTCATTTTGCGCAACTGGAAGAGAAGAAAATGAAGTGTTAGCAGTATTAGCCGAGGTAAAATGTGAAGGCGCTGTAACTGTTGGGGTTGTAGCAAATGAACTTAAAATTGGAAATGATGATTGTGAAAGATGAGAAGGTGATTTGGGTTGTTGTGCAAGGAGTTTCGTTGTGGCGGGGGTTGAAAAGCTGGAATTTTGATTTTGAGATGAAGCTGGAGTGTTAGAAATTTTAGAAGTTGAAGCTGTTGTTGATTTATTACTTGATAAATTATTTTGTTGGTGCAAAGAAGGAACGCTTGTTGAAGGACCTGGATACAAATTGTATTTTTAGTTCCTGAATATTTTAAATAATTCTTATCTCACCACTTTGAATTGTTCCACTTCTCCGTCTTTCTATAACCAACTCCAATTCACCAACTGATTGTTGGATACAATCAACAGCACTTTGGTGTCGTTTTCCTATCATAGAAGTTCCATTAATCTCCAGTACTTTATCACCCGGACGCAAACCAACACGTTCAGCTGCCCCACCTGATACAAGTTTTGATATGAAAATTCCAGAATCATTCTCCTTTAAAAATACAAAAATTAAAATGAAAAAAATGTAACAATCAGCAAGGGATTTTCTCTATTCACAAAATTATCAGAGCCCAATGCTCTTGCCCAATTTCTTCATATTGTCACACATTTTTATTTTATACCACTTAACCAACACTTACTAGGGAGAAAAAGAAGAAAAGCCCTTCTAAATTTCTTTCGGTTATTTTTTGTGTGATTTTATAGTCTTGGCAGTTTTTACATATGTAATTAAAGAACAATTTTCGTAAATATTAAATATCAAAAAATTAAACTAACAATAAAAGGTGTAGATTCAATACCCCCAGCAATTGAAAGTCCTAAACCGCCCCCACTTCCATCTCCACGCCGTACAACGACCCGTTTTCTTTCTAGCTCCCTGATGCTACCTCCTTGCGCCGACTGAAAATTTAAAAATAATTTAGTAATGAATTTAGGAAATTAGATGAAAATTTTTTTAAAAAACAAATAAAGCAAAAAAAAAACTAAAAAACAAAGAATATAAAATTTAAAAAAAAATAAAAAGGGAAAAAATGTTAAATAATTAAAGGTAAATTAATCCAAAAAAATATTTTACCAATTTATATTTCCCTAAAAAAGCTTTAAAAAGAGAGGCCAACATAATATTTTAACTGCAAAATGGACAAAAACAAAGAACGACGACTATACCTGAATGCGCATACCGTCATTTTGGTCGATTCCAGTTGAAACAGGAGGAACTGGATCTCCAACAGCATTTGCTGGAGTTTTTGGCAACTGTCGACGATTTGATTGATTTTGTGAATTATCACCGCTTTCAGCCGCCGCTGCAGCTGCTGCCGCAGCACGTTGACTTTTATAGTGTGGAGTATTGACTCGTTTTAGTCTGCACTCATTTGAAGATGATTCTTCTTTTGCAGTAGTTTTGCCATTATTGAAGATTACAGCTTTTTGTTGTTTTTGTGTTTGCTTTAGATTAAGAGAAATAATTTTTTAATTAACAATTTTATAAAATTAAAAACCTGTTTTGGTGATTTTTGTAACTCAATAATAGGCTGTTGTTGCTGTTGAGCTTCAGTAAACGATTGCATACGTGACGGGTATTTAAGTGCTGATCTTGGAAGAGTGTTCTTTTGTTCAATGGCAATGGAGGTAGAACAACTAGGCACAGCAGCATGAGCAGAACTATGGTCCTGACTTATTTTTTTAACGCTACCACTAAGAACAATTGATTTTGGATGCTACAAAGTTAAGGAGAAGTAATTAAAATATATATTTTAAAAATAAACCTCTTCAACTTTAGCAGCAATATGGCCATCAACATGCTGTTTTTTGTGATGTTTTGAAGTACTAGAACTTGTAGAAGCACTCGGTTTTGGATGGGGAGTGTTTTTTCTTTCAAAATTCTGAGCTTTATCGGCACTAACTTCTTCTCTTTCCGCTTCATCTACACCAAAATGAACCTTTGGGCCACCAACAAATCCGCCTGATTTATTTGAATTTGGTGGTTGTGAATTATTGCCAGATTCTAAAATAATTTTAAATATTTAAATTATAAATAAAACTTTACTATTTTGAGAATCCACTTGTGGCAACAAATAACAAGTCAATATTTTTATTCCACTTCTCGAGTCAGTTTCTTGTTGGAGGCGAACAAGTGCTTGAGATTGATTTTCGGATAACCAAAGTGCTTGTAATTCACGGAGAACATTTATCTAAAAAGAGATTAATTTAAAAAACTAATAGCGAATATGTATATCAGGCATAAAAAATTATTTTAAAAGAGCTTGAACAAATGGGGGCATTTAAGAAAAATGATCGAAATTGCCAAAATCACTATCAAGCTTTTTAAAAATAAAAAGCAAACCGTATAAGGTAAATGTGTAAGCATATTGTTACAAACATCAAAAACTTTTAATTTTGCCAATTTTCCAATCTCCATTGGTAATTCTTCTAACTGGTTATTTCTCACTTGAAGTACATTTAAAGATTGACATTCGCCTATTAGAGAAGGTAATTGGCGTAATTGACAACGATCCAAATTTAAAGTTTGTAAATACTTGAGATTTCCAATAGAGCTTGGAAGCTCCTAAAAATTTTTATAAAATTTTAATTAAAAATTTAAAATATTACAGTGATAGGGTTCTGCTGCAAATAAATCTCACTTAATTTAATACATCCACCAATAGCTGGAGTAACAGAGCCAATCATATTATCGTCCATTTTGAGAATGAATAAGCGTTTTAGACGACCTAGTAATTTTTTTAATAATTAAAAAAAAATTTATTTTAATTAAAAAAGAACCTATAGAACTCGGCAATTCTCGAATACAATTATGTGAAGCAGTTAAATCAACCAAATTTGAAAGATCTCCAATATCTTCAGGTAATTGAAAAAGTCGATTTGATGTTAAATCTAATTGTTCTAAACGAGTACAGTGAAGAATTGAATCAGGCAATTTTTCCAAACTATTTTCATCAATGTATAATTCTTGCAATGAACGTAGAAAGCCAATTTCGTTAGGCTTAATAGAAATTAATATAGAAAATGATCAATATTAACAAAATCAACTTTCGTTCGATTTAGTCGAAAAATTCCTTAAGACCGAATATCTGCCGAAGAATTTTAAAAAGTTGAAAAATAATTTATTTTGGTTTCATCCAAAAATAATAAACCTAATCAGTGTGGAATTTGGGAAAATATAAAAACTTAACAGATTTTCGGGCCAAATACAAGATTTTATTAATTTCTTAATTATGAGAAAATTGGTCATAAAGAAAATAATTTAAAGACCAACCAATTCATCCAGTTCGTTCTGCCCCAAATCCAGCCTCTGCAACTGCTTCAATTCAGAAATTGAGACAGGTAAAGCTCGCAAATGGTTTTCTCTAACTTCCAACGATTTCAATGACACCAACTTTCCAATATCTTGAGGGAGTTTAGTTAAAGAAATGTCGTTCAATGAGAGTTGTGCAAGTGAAGTACAAAGAGTAATTGAATCGGGAAGTCGAGCAATGGGATTAGAAGAAATGTCGAGGACTTGGAGATTTTGGCAGATCCTCAATTCCTCTGGGAGATCGGATATATCTGAAAGTAAAATTAATTTTAAGTATCAAATTTTAGAATGAAATGAAAGGGAAAAAGATTTATCGATTAATCGGTGAAGGAAACAAACTGATGAAAATACCCAAAAACCAGATAAATTTTTAAAATTATTAAATCCAAAAGAAAACTAACCATTTCTGCTCAAATTTAGCTCAACTAAATTTTGAAGGCCAGAAACTTCGGGAGGTAAACGATGAATGTCGTTGTCACTCAAACCAAGCCGTTGAAGTTTATGAAGCCGAAAAAGTGATTTTGGAAGGGAATTTATATGATTCTTAAAATAAAAATTAATTAAAAAAACCCAAATATAAACAAACCATATCCAAAAGAAGTTCTTCAAGTGAACGTGCATAACGTTCAAGATCGCCAGGAATTGATTGAAGATTACATTGTCGTCGATCAATTAAATCAATTTGACGATTGCAGGCGAAAAAAGGCATGCAAATGAAAGAAGGCATTTTTTGAAGGAAATTGCAAAAATTAAATTTTTGTCAGATTAATTTGTGAAGAATTTTTGAAAAAAATTTTTTGAAGAAATTCTTGTTTATATCAACATTTTTAGTTGCTAACAAAATTATTTTTTGTTTAATAAATTGATGTTAATGATATGAATTGACAATCATTTAATAAAAGAAATTGATGAATAAAGAATTAGAATTGTGGTCCTTAAATTAAAAATAAAATTTAAATAATTAAAAATTAAAATGTAATTTATAGGGGCTTTAAGAAGAAAATTTAGAAAAAAAATTGAAAAAATAAAACAATTAAAAAATCAATTTACAAATTAAATAATAATAAATTCAAAATTAAAAAAAAGAATGATATTATTGGGACAATAGATAGATTTAAATAAAATTAGTATATTACTACTGACAATAAGTGGGAAGTGATGGGAAATATTTAAAAAATGAAAAATATAAAACCATTAGAAAGAAAAATTTAATTTAAATTTTTTAAATTCAAATTTTATGAGCCAATATGTTGCGAATTTAGTGACATAAGTTATTAGCGGACGCGAGATCCCACAAAATCCAGTACGGGATTTTCTAAATCTACATTTGGATAAAAAAGATTTTGGCGTTTTGGGGTTGGTATTTTGAAAAATTATTAAATTAGACATTTTGCCAAAAATGCTAATTTAAGTAATTTAAATTGGTGGCTTGAAATAATGGTGACACGACTTGGGCACAGTGATCCATTTGCACAGTAAGACTTTTGCACAGAGGACAATTACACAGTGGACAATTGCACAGTAAAGTCTTGTTTATTCGCGAAACGACCTACCTATTTATTCGCAAAACGCCTGTTTAGTCGCGGAACACTCCAAATAAACGCAAGGCTCGTTCACCTATAGGTCATAACTTCGTTCAGAATCATCCAATCAAGATGATTTTGGTGTCTGCCGACTCAACTCAAAAAGCTCTTTCGAATGAGCTATAATTTGCATCTTCGAATTTTTTACCCCAAAAAACCGCTTGGTTTACTCTATTGTTTTTCGATTTTCGTGAGCCTATATCTCTGCGAGTTTTCGTCTCCCGCGAACAACTTTTCCAACAACGGGAAAAATTTCTTATAGAACAGGGAAAATTGTTTTTGTTTAAGAAAAACTATTTTATTATTAAAAAACTTATCAGAAAGTCTAACACAAATGCACTTAACCACAAATTACTGTGCAATTGTCCACTGTGCAGATGCCCAATGTGCAATTGTCTTACTGTGCAAATGGATCACTGTGCCCGTGTCGGAGCGCCGAAATAATAAAGTGACTGAAATTAATAAACGTTTAGGCAATAAAAAAATAAAAAAAAACAATTCAAATGAGAAAATTTTTGTTTTAAATGCGTGTAAAAATAAAAGAAAAATTCCTTATCTACATTACACTTTTCATTCAAAAATAAAGCTTTGCTTTTACATAATTAATTAAACGAGAAAAGCTGTTTTGTCTAGTCACGGAAATTAACCGAAGTAAAATAGAAATGTAACAATAAAATAAAAATATGTAAAAAGGTTGGGAAAAGGTTGACAAAAATAAAAATATGTTTATTTAAATAAAATTATTGAAAAAAGGTATTAAATTGAAGGAGAGGCCTTATCTGACACATGTAAAATTGGAGTAAAAAATAACGTTCATTTCACTTTAAGGTGTAAGGTTTTACTAAATTGGATGTAATGGATTTTGGTATCCGTATCAAGATATTTACGGCGGATACAGACGGATATCCGCAGGCATTTTGAACTTATCTCTATCCATATCCGTATCCATTACCAAGCCTGGTGTAAACACTATTGGAGGTATACATAGAATTCTTAGGCAGCTCTCTATACTTTTTATTTGGTTAACCAAATAAATAAAAAAAAATATCAACTTAATTGAAGTATTTACAAAAGTAGGTGTAAACTATAAAGTGAGGTCCTGACTGTATTTAAAAATTTTTTTTTTGATGGATTGTTAAATAAGCGTGAAGTGATGATTTAATGACGATATGTATAAAAATAAAAATACAGGAAAAGAATTGATTTATACTTTTCTATATTGTCAAGTGGCGCAATGGATGGACTAATAGAAAGCATTTCATTTCCGCTTTTTTGCCAGTCTTTTTATTGTTCATAAAAAGAGTATAAATTCTTGTCTGTGCATTTCCCTCAATTTTTCTTTTTTTTTGCTGCTATTGAGGAATTTTTAGGCGGCACTGGCATTTTACTAGTTATTGAATAGGAAGATGCGTGCAACAAGAGTCAAGGGTGGGCGCAAAGCTTTTTGCGTTATTTGCGTTGATTTTTGTCTTTAAGATGCGTTTTGCCTAAATTTGTCCGAAAATAAAGTAAAAATATCTTCTAAAATCTCCTAAATGAGACGTTAAAAAGGTGGAATTTTGGATTTTGGATATCAAAATATTCAGAATTATCGCATGTAACGCTTAAGAGCAAATAATAAAACAAACTAGATTATCCAAACTCTTTAATTAGTTTAATAATCAAAAAAAAAATAATGAGCCTTAAAACAGGGCAGTACCCAACGAAGGGGTAAGATCCCAGGCTTAGTCTCGAGTCTTAGTTATGAGTCTCGAAAAATTTTCAATCTTGTACCCAATAATTTGCAAATGATATTCTCAAATACAACTTTTTTATATTAGAATTATACTGATAAATTGGAGAGGGTGAGGCAAATTTTTTTAGCAATATGTGCAAAATTAAACATTCAATATGAAACTTTAAATAAACAGCGCGACGATTATTGCGTCAACGTTATCACTTAAAAAGGGGGAATGATATATTCTAATCTAAACAATTATTTTAATGTTTCATCAGCATATGGAATTCAAAATTTTCTCGGTTATTTAAAATTTGATTTAGATAAAAGGAAAATAATACATACAGTCGTGGAAAAAAGTATGGAAGCGCTAGAAAATTTTCTCTTAATTTTTAATTTTTCATTCAAAAAATACGTTCTATATACCAATCGAAAGCTCTATTCGTATCTCAGTTGACATGTTTCTGCATTTTTCATGAAAATGAAAATTGGCCGAGATAATCCGGATCTACCGGATATACCAAATCCCACTTTTTCGGAAAAATTTTTCGGAACAAATTTAACAAACCCAAATGATAAAGTATATTTTTCTGAGTATTTTCCACAAAACCGCTTAGAAATATCTTTTTCCGGAGCAGAGATATTTTTTGAAAATCGCATTTTTCGTCAATTTTTGCAAAATTTTCAATTTTTAAGGGAAAAATGCGATTTTCAAAAAATATCTCTGCTCCGGAAAAAGATATTTCTAAGCGGTTTTGTGGAAAATACTCAGAAAAATATACTTTATCATTTGGGTTTGTTAAATTTGTTCCGAAAAATTTTTCCGAAAAAGTGGGATTTGGTATATCCGGTAGATCCGGATTATCTCGGCCAATTTTCATTTTCATGAAAAATGCAGAAACATGTCAACTGAGATACAAATAGAGCTTTCGATTGGTATATAGAACGTATTTTTTGAATGAAAAATTAAAAATTAAGAGAAAATTTTCTAGCGCTTCCATACTTTTTTCCACGACTGTAAATACTTTAATAAAAGTCAATTTTTCAAGTCTCAGAAAATATTAAAAAAATACACATAAAAATATCTTCTTTCTAGTAAAAATAAAAAGAAGCGCATTTAAAAGAAGAAAAAGAGAAAAATGGCCAGCCATGATAGAAATTTGGCAATGAAAAAAATTTTGGGGAAAAATTTCTAGTAGTAATTCCATTGAATGGGATATATAAATATAGCCAGTCAGTCAGTCGGTAGTCTCTTTATTTTTTTTCAAAAAAATATTATAGTCTTTTCATTATTTTTCTATGTTTATTCTACAAATATTTCACGTGGCCAAGAAGGACAGAGACAACACAAAAAATGTGGAGAAGTACTACAAGTCAATTTTTCTTGGACTTTTTTATCCGAAAATAATGTAAAGAGAATGAAACAGACAATTCACGGAATGGACAATTCACCGAACAACTAGGCAGTTTCAAATAAATGTGTTTTTTACGTAAATTGTCACAGAAAACAAGAAACTTTTCTTTTTATTTTATTAATCATTAATGCATAAATAAAATAAAAATATTATTTTTAGATTTAAAAAAGAAAAAGTTTTTTTTAATTTTTAAAAGGTGCAAAAATAAATTATTTTTTCCATTAATAATTGAAAGGAAAATGAAAAGTTTTGGGGAAAAAAGTTGTAAATAAATGTTTGATTTAAATAATAAAGCTAATTTTTGTTTATTTTTAAGTGTTTCTAGACAAAAAAAATTTTAATAAAAATTGTATCAGATTTTTAATTAAAAATAAAAAATTCTTTTTTTTTAAACATTTTATGTATCACGAGAAAAGAAGGGACAAAAATAAAATCGATTATATATTATTTAAAAGTAGGTCTTCTATTTATAAAATTTATTAAAAAAATTTCCCATAACCGTTTTAATCAAAAATTATAGGCGCCAAAACCTACCTGCCTCCAATCTTGGTGGAGCAAAAGTTTATGCCGTTTGTAGGAAAAAAATTTTTTTGGTTCTAAAACAAGTCGAAAAAATGTTCAAAAAATTTTTATAAACATTTTCATTGATATTGAATTGAAAAGCAAAAAGAAAGAATTCGATAAGTTATTTTTAATCAAGATCCAAAATCTTAAAAATCAGCGTAAAATCGGGGTACAGTGATTGAAAAAATATTTTCGACCCCTTATGGATTTTTTAAAATTTTTATTTTAGGCTCATTTGAAAGCCCATAAAATTTACTACAAAATAAGGTCGGTCACCTATATTTGAAAAATTTCAACTCGGAGGTAGGGTGGCATGAATTACCGAAGAAACATTTTATAGGGTATTTCAGGTGATTTTGACAACCTTGTGTATTCATGCGACCCTATCTCGAAGATGAAATTTTTCACACATATGAGACCAAGTGTAGTTTGTAGCAAATTTTATGGGCTTTCTAATGAGCCCAAAAAGTATTTTTAATACAGGCCCTAGGGAGCTTAAATATTTTTTTAAGTACTGTAACCTCATTTCCCGTTGATTTTTGAGATTTGGGATCTCAATGAATAATGCAAGTACAGACTTCGTTTTTTCTCTTTTTCCATTCATTATCAATGGAAATGTTTATAAAAAAATTTGTAATTTTTTTCGTCTTGTTTTGGAACCAAAAAAATTTTTTTTCTACAAGCGGCATAAACTTTTGCTCCCCCAAAATGTGAGGTAAATAAGTTATGACCGAATAAATTTTGAATAACGTAGTTATTAAAAAAATTTTTTTATGGATATTATAAAGGATGAACTATATTTAATTAATATATAATCGATTTTATTTAAGTCCCTTTTCTTCCTGAGATAAATCGACTTTTCTGCGTGCGAGGTGTAGCGGCATAAACTTTTGCACCTTACTGTATATCAACTTTTTCTTATGCGAGGTATAGCGGCATAAACTTTTGCACCTTACTGTATTTACGAATTAAAAGGAGAAAAACGTGTGAAAATATTATTTTTATTTAAACAGAAATATTTTAGAAAATCAAAACTTTTAGAAATTAAATGAGATTTTTAGGTGTAAAATTAAAAGAAATGTTTTTGTTTTGATCTGTTTCTGGTGGTTTTGGAAAAGAATGGTCTCGATTTCTTGTCAAAATTAAATTTAAGTAACTCTCTTATCTTAAAAATATATAAATTTGTTAATAATAAAATTTTTAGAAAAGACAATTCACGGAATGGACATCCAACTTAAACCTAGGCACATTCAAATATTTTTAATTTTTTTCACAGTAAACAAGGAGGAGGAGAAGTTGGAGTAATTCGAAAAGTGACTGTTCTCTCCCCTAAAACCTCCTAATGTTCCCCTAAATGTTTAAGGGAAAAACTGTTTTTCCTTTAAAAAACTTTTAACAAAAAAATTTTTTTTTTAATATTCGGGGTTTTAATTTAAATTTAACAAAACAATTTAAACTATTAAATAAATAGCAAACAATTAATGTGTGTGTTTGCGCGTTTGGTCAATTCTCTGACTTAAATAATTAAATAACTACCTAATTAATTATTTACTTTTTGACTTTTAATTATAAAAATAAATATAAATATATTTAGAGCAAAGAACAACAAAAAATTATTTTTATATAATTTTTTGGATTTATTTAAAAGCAGTTGGCCAATTCAATAAATTATAAAAAGGAGGGAAAACACTTGAAAAAAAATAAAATACTAAAAATGAGTCCACCACATGATTAAATAAAGAAAAAAATTATTAATTAGTTAATTAAAAATAGAAGAAGAATTTTGGGTAAATATTTATTTAAACTAAAAAAGAATACCAAAAAAATTTTATTTATTTAAAAAATGATAAAAAGATTAATTTATGGAAATTATTGGGAATTTGTGAATTATTTAATTACTTCAGCGTCCTAAGGGAATTAATTGACGAATGAAAAGAAAATTGCTCCAAATGGAAATGAATGGTGAAGAAATAGGTAAAGCATGAATAGAGGGATGGATCTTTTTCACAAGGGATGGATTTTCTTCATTCTTCCGCTTTTTTAAATCCAGAATTATCAATCCCTGAGGTAGACCCTCTTCCCTGTTTGGCAAAATAATTCAACAAAAATTCCTTCCAAAATAACAACAATTAATTGTGAATTTTCCCAAAATATTATTTAAATATCCCTCAACAATTTTTAGAGTTTTGGTTCTAAATTTGTTAAATTATGAACAAAAATAGACAAAAAATAACATTAGTTATGCCATATTTTTTAATTAAAAAAATCAAAAAATTTTTTAAAATAATTTATAGAGTTAAATATAATTATATTTTTCTAGTCTTTTTTCTACGGGTCACGTTTACTGGCACCTAAATGAAACAAAATCTCATTGGAAAATTTAATTTAAAAAAATTAAAAAATAAATTTCAGAATTTTTTAAATAAAATAATAATTCTGATTTTAGTATTCGATCGTATTTTTAGGACAACGTAAAATTGATAAAAAAATAAAATAAATTTTGCTTTTTATTTGTTTAAGAGTAAACAGAAAAAAGATCATTAAATGAAGAAAAATAAAAAAATATTATTTGTTTGTGTGCTGTCATTTTGTGATTAAATGGTTGAAAAACGAAAAAAAAGAAAAAAATGTAATTTATGTTTAAATAAAAACATTTAAAGAAATCGAAGAATTTGACGATTTTTTTTATTTTTAATTTTAAATTTGGAAGTAGATAATTAATTATTGAGAGAAAAAATTAAAATTTAAAAACAAGAAGTGTGCTGAAACAAATTTTAAAAAGCAAAAAATGAGAGCAAAATATAGAAAAACGAGAAGCGAAACAGGACCTACTGTCTAAACAAGAGTTTAATTACCTCAAATTTCTAACCAGTCTTTACTAACTTTGGTTTATTCTTTAGTAAAAAATTTCTGGATAATTAACTCAAATATTTCGATGTCATGATTGCTGGATTTTCAGGTCAGAACCTACATACATATTTTTCTGAATGAGTTAGAACTAGAGACCGGACTGGGAATCGAGATCGAAATCTCGAAAATCTTATCGTGCGAGAATCGAGATTTCAAAAAATTTTCGATCTCGATAACCGAGAATTTCTATCGAGATCTTGCCTTTGTCCGGTCTCTAGTTAGAACATAAACGATTTTACTATGAATTTCTATAATTATTTTTGAAAAAAAACAAAGTCAAAAATTATTACGTTTTGTTAATTTATTTTCTTGTTTTATGATTAAAAAAGATAAACTACACGGAAATAAATCATAAAAGAAATAGCGCCAAACAAATTACAAAAATTATTTGTGCCGAAAATCAATGTTTTTTTCAATGTACATTATATTCTGTGTATATTTTTCTTCTCCAATTTTTAATAGTAGGTAATTCCTTCTTATCATTTTTCATTTTCTCATAAAATTCTCTTTATTTTAGTTAATAAATAAAATTAATTATTAAATATACTCTCTTCCCACAAAATTAAAAATTAATTTTTAAGGTTATTTTTCAAAGCATTTTCTTGTTCGATTAATTAAAATATATGGCATCAATTCAATCTGTGAGTAATCAATTGATTAGATTAATCATAAATAAAATAACACACATTCACAACATAAAACATTTTTGCTGTTAAATGAAGCACGGATTTACAGATTTTAAATTAAAATTTACTTTATGTTCGAGTTAAATTTTGGGGTATTTCTGGTTTGGTCTTTGCCTTCCTTTTCACAAAAAAGATACTTTAAATCAGAGCTGGGGATCCCGACCGAGGCCGGTATAGGTATCGGGATCTGTATCATCATTCCAAAATACCGATTAGGTCGGAATCCTGATGCCGCCCAACCCTACCTTAAATTTAAAAAAAAATTATTAAAGTTAACTTCCTCCTCAACACAACAACAACGTGAATGTTTATATAAAGTGCTTGTAATTGGGGATATGGGAACAGGCAAAACTTCATTAATTCAAAGATATATTCACGACTCATTTCCATCTTTATATAAACCGACAATTGGCGTTGATTTTGCTACAAAACTTATTCAATATGAAGATACTTTGATTAGACTTCAATTTTGGGATATTTCTGGTAAATATTCCTTTTTAAATGGAAATTAAAAAATATTCAAATTAAAAAAATAAATTTAAATTTAGAGCATATATGTATTTTTATTGGTAAAATTGAACTTAGTACCCCCCTCAAGAAAGTGGAAAAATGGCCAGTCTTAAACTGTGTTACCTACTTTGCTCTATGACAATAAGTACTCAGCTCTGTTTTTAGAACCAATGTCAACGTGGGTGTGTGGACCAGCTCTTTTATTTGTATAAGGTTTGCCGTACTAGCATGATCTTTTATGGGAATAAAGAAACTAGTCATCTAGAGTTCTGGTACACCCACACAATACCGGATCATTGGTTCTAAAAAGCAGAGCTGGGTACTTATTGTCAGAGCAGTCACACATTTAACAAGGACCGTTTTTCCACTTTATGGAGTGAAAAAAAGGGGGGGGGGTACGAAGTTTTGTTTTGAGGTATTTGAAGTTAAAATAATTTTATTTTCCAAAGTTTTTTAGTTAAAGTTTCTATTTTTTACTTATTTTAGAGAGCAATTCAAGAAAATAAATAATAAAAATATTTTTTCAACAAAAAATTATTTTTAGGTCAGGAAAGGTTTGCCAATATGACTCGAGTCTATTACAGAGATTCACATGGAGCATTTATTGTAAGAAAACTAAAAATTCTTTTAATCTTTAAAAAAGTATTTTTAATAATTAAAATTTTTTTGAATTTTTAAACTTAAAAATGAGAGACGTCTCATTAAACTTAGAAATGACAGACGAAATTTTTTTCAATTTAAAATTTTGAATTTTAATATTCTAGTAGATTAATTCTAATATTTTTAAAAAATTTTTAGGTCTATGACTGCAGTAGTAAGCGAAAAGATGAAACATTTTCTGGGGTAAATTTTTAATCATCTATCAAAAAGTCCGCTTGTTTATTTAACATACCCTCCTCTGGAAACCAGAGGCGGGTCGGAAAAAGTTCTTTTTGCAACTCAAAAGTCAAATTTGAAGGGATTAAAAAAGATAATGAGAGATTTGGGTTAGACTGTATATCAGAGAATCTATAGGATCTAAATTTACGCCCTATAATCTCTCTTGCCTCTCGGCCTTCCAAATCGGTGACAGGTTTAACTGTAAAAACACTAATTATATCGCCCTTCTTAAACCCAACACGAAAAAATATTAGAAACCCTTAATAGCACAATAATTTATTAGATTATATACAAACACAATACATATGTAGCAATACAATACAGTAAAATACAATTATAGCGAAAACGAATGTCGAAATATTTATACAATCATGAGGAAAATCAATAGGGTGAAATATCTCAATTTTATCTTTCACATTCCTCATTCCCAGTCATATGGATGCTCAGGGATCCTGTTCTCGGTGAGATATGCGCGCAGCATCTTCATTATCCAGCTGTAGTCTGGACGACCGTAGAAACGCATCTCGTCTATATGCCTCAGGATAGTGATGAATTCATCAGGGCAACCAGCGACGAGGGCACGCACAGCATCAGTTCGGACCTTCAGTGGATTGTTCGGGAGTCGAGCTTCTTTGAACGTACCAATCTGCAAAATCAATTAATTATTTAGTAGTTAAGAATTTCTCAAAAATTCGTACCGCATCCATGTCGCCGACACCGCTCCAAGGAAGTTTGCCGGCAAAGATTTCGACCATCATGTAGAACCTAGTACGGAAAAAATTAGAATTTGAAGGAAAAAAACTCGTCTATCAGTGACTTACCAGGATTCCATGTCATCCTTACGTGCGTATTCTCTTTTGATGTGTGCTGATGTAGCCGCATAACGTGGAGTCCCTCGGAAACGTGCAGACTCCCTTGGACGCATCAACGACCCATCTGAGTGCATGAACTTTCTCGCGATCCCAAAATCAAGCACGTAGATTATCTGCTGTTCTCCCTCTTCCTTCCGTCCGGTAGTCGTGTTTGCCGGCTTGATATCCCGGTGGAGATATCCAATGCCATGAAGAGCCCGTAGCGCGTTGACCATCTGAATTGAGACGCCGATCGCTGTACCAGGAGAGAAGCGTCGACCAGGTCGAGCTTTGACGAGTTTGTCCAGTCCTGGGCCAACCAGCGACATCCTAAAAGAAAAAGGTAAGTTACTGCTTAATTTACTGCTCCCTAAAAAACCCCGTTCTACCCGTATAGTATGTAATCCAAAATTCTTACACGATATAGTTGAAGGACACCTTTCCAGCAGGTCCAATGGTCTGACTGTCCCTGCCGATGTCGAAGCACTTAGTGAAGTGACGGTCGTCCTTTATGCGGTGCAGTTCCTGAAGAACATGGGCCTCCATTGCTAGTAGCGGCATTGACGCATCGACTGGCTCAGTTTTGAGAGCCCCTTCCCTCAAGCCGAATTTGCAGTGGTAGACAGCTCCGAATGCACCGGCACCAAGCTTTTTGATGATCGTCCATTTCTCCGCAACTTTCATCCCTGGCGATAACTCGACGAGCTGCGGCGGCATTCCTGAAGAATCTGTTGAGAGCTCCGGAAATGAGATAAGCGCAGGAAGGTATACAGATGACTGAAAAGGAAAAAAGTAATTGATGAAGATGAACGACCAAGATAAACTAAAAAACTAAACCGTACCTTGGAAGATAACGTCGTGACGAGCAAAGCCAAGTGTGCCAAGAGCCAAGCAGGTTAGAGACAGCGACCAATGCAAGCAGCGTGAGTTAATTGGGTGTGGTTGTGAACAGCAAAAATGTGTTGGCTTTTATAATCGAGATAGAAACTCGTAAATAAAGGCTAGTGACTCAATAAGGAGTAAGATTATAAAAGCCAACACATTTTTGCTGTTCACAACCACACCCAATTAACTCACGCTGCTTGCATTGGTCGCTGTCTCTAACCTGCTTGGCTCTTGGCACACTTGGCTTTGCTCGTCACGACGTTATCTTCCAAGGTACGGTTTAGTTTTTTAGTTTATCTCGGTCGTTCATCTTCATCAATTACTTTTTTGCTTTTCAGTCATCTGTATACCTTCCTGCGCTTATCTCATTTCCGGAGCTCTCAACAGATTCTTCAGGAATGCCGCCGCAGCTCGTCGAGTTATCGCCAGGGATGAAAGTTGCGGAGAAATGGACGATCATCAAAAAGCTTGGTGCCGGTGCATTCGGAGCTGTCTACCACTGCAAATTCGGCTTGAGGGAAGGGGCTCTCAAAACTGAGCCAGTCGATGCGTCAATGCCGCTACTAGCAATGGAGGCCCATGTTCTTCAGGAACTGCACCGCATAAAGGACGACCGTCACTTCACTAAGTGCTTCGACATCGGCAGGGACAGTCAGACCATTGGACCTGCTGGAAAGGTGTCCTTCAACTATATCGTGTAAGAATTTTGGATTACATACTATACGGGTAGAACGGGGTTTTTTAGGGAGCAGTAAATTAAGCAGTAACTTACCTTTTTCTTTTAGGATGTCGCTGGTTGGCCCAGGACTGGACAAACTCGTCAAAGCTCGACCTGGTCGACGCTTCTCTCCTGGTACAGCGATCGGCGTCTCAATTCAAATGGTCAACGCGCTACGGGCTCTTCATGGCATTGGATATCTCCACCGGGATATCAAGCCGGCAAACACGACTACCGGACGGAAGGAAGAGGGAGAACAGCAGATAATCTACGTGCTTGATTTTGGGATCGCGAGAAAGTTCATGCACTCAGATGGGTCGTTGATGCGTCCAAGGGAGTCTGCACGTTTCCGAGGGACTCCACGTTATGCGGCTACATCAGCACACATCAAAAGAGAATACGCACGTAAGGATGACATGGAATCCTGGTAAGTCACTGATAGACGAGTTTTTTTCCTTCAAATTCTAACTTTTTCCCTACTAGGTTCTACATGATGGTCGAAATCTTTGCCGGCAAACTTCCTTGGAGCGGTGTCGGCGACATGGATGCGGTACGAATTTTTGAGAAATTCTTAACTACTAAATAATTAATTGATTTTGCAGATTGGTACGTTCAAAGAAGCTCGACTCCCGAACAATCCACTGAAGGTCCGAACTTGATTTTCCTCATGATTGTATAAATATTTCGACATTCGTTTTCGCTATAATTGTATTTTACTGTATTGTATTGCTACATATGTATTGTGTTTGTATATGTCGGCGGTAAAATTCAGATTTAGGAAAAATTCAATTTTTCCGGAAAATTTCAATTTTTCCGGAAAAATTCAATTTTTCCGAGCATTTAGGAAAATTTCAAATATTAAATTAATTTAATAGTCTGTCTTACACTATTTCGCTTGTTTTTCGTTTTTGAGTATGTTTTTTCTTGTTTGTTTTTCTTTTGTTTTATGTTTGTTTTTTTGGTTGTTTGTCTTTTTTAAAATTTTCCCTTGTTTTTACTTTTTATTTTGGTTTTTAGTTCGTGTTTTTTAATTTTTGTGCTACAACTGAATGGGTAGGTCGGCATTTCAATGCTGAAAATCGGTAAAAGGAATAGGATTATGTTACTAGTGCAGAACCCAGCGACCGTTGACTCCCGCGAGACGCGTGCCGCGAAACTCCGCGCGAAGCGCGGGGTTTCGCACAAGCGTCTCGCCGACTCCCCATAGGTTTATGTCGTTTTTTTTGTTTTTAAAAAAAATCCAAACTTATTTTACATGGTTATCTTGACTAAATCAGGAAATTTAAAGATAACCCAGAAAAATCAAAAACAAACATAAAAACACAAACAACACCGAAAAAACAAAAAACTAGCCCAGACTCAACTGACAAATTTATTACTATCTGAAATTTTCCTAAATGCTCGGAAAAATTGAATTTTTCCGGAAAAATTGAAATTTTCCGGAAAAATTGAATTTTTCCTAAATCTGAATTTTTCCGCCGACATATATAATCTAATAAATTATTGTGCTATTAAGGGTTTCTAATATTTTTTCAAGTTGGGTTTAAGAACGGCGATATAATGAGTGTTTTTACAGTTAAACCTGCCATATTGTATGCTTCCTCCCCTTTCTTATTGACTACTCATCAGAGGTGGGTCGGAATTCCGATTTCCGACGTTTTTTTCCTTCCGATTTCCGAAATTTTGGAAAAATTTCCGATAATTTTTAAAGCATATTTCTGACTAAAGATTTTACAAATCTGGCTTCTAGCCTTCCAAATTTCTCAAAATTTTCACCTCTTCGATGGAAAAAAGAGAGCGTTGAAAAAGGAAGGTAAAAAGATTTCGGAGTTTTTGATTAAACTTTGCGGACTTTGTAAAATTAAAAAACTTATTTTTAAATCTAAAAAAGGCTCTTCGATGGAAAAAAGATTTAGATTCAAAACTTTTATTAGACAATGGACAACCAATTCCAGCTATTTTATTAGCAAATAAATCAGATTTAGAAAATACTTTAACGACACAACAATTACAGGGGCAAGTAAAGAAAGGGAAATTTGCATCTGGGTAATTTTGAGAAGATTTTTTCTCTAAGAAATTTCTTTTTAAAGATTTAAAATTAGCGTTAAAAATGGTGATGGAATAGATACAGCACTTAATTCTTTACTAATGAGTATTGTTAGTAATGAAAGACATAGTCTTTATTTAATTCCAATGTTTGTTTTTAAATTATTAAACTTTGAGATTTTAAAAAAGTTTTTTGAGAGAAAACGGAGGTTTAGTAATATTTTTTGGATTTTCATTACAGTAGTTAACCCCCCCGAGAAGTCGTTGGGGGCAGCGGGGTCCAACCATTTAGCCCCTCCCCCTTCTTAAACGACCATTCAACCATTCCGTCGTCAGAGTCCAAAGGTTTAAGGATTTCCCTTTAAGGGATAATTTGATCAAACCGGTTTGGTGCGAACTTTAAAAAAAAAACACCTTACCATACCATTCCCCACATTTTTCACCAAATTTTATTCTAAAAATTTTCCCAAAGTTTCTAGGGTTCAATAAGTAGTTTTCAAACGGTTCAATCAAGATTTCCCATATTTTTTCTTTTTAAAACTGTTTCTTAAACTTTTAAATTTCTTTTCTTACAATATCTCATTTTATTATTTTTACCCTTTATACTTAAAAAAAATACAATAATTATTAAAAAGTAGGCGGTTGAAATAGAAATAGTAAAAATCAGTCATGCAATAATTATGTTGCAAAATTATTGTTGAAAAGTGAAAATTGGTTAGAAATAGGTCATGCAAGAGAAAAACTGTAAAAATTTGTAAATTATTGTTGAAAAGTTAAAAATGGGTAAATTTTTAAAAAGTAGACGTTGAAGATAGAAATAACTTTAAAAAGTATAAATAGGTAAAAAAATAGCTCATGCAAAAATTGTTCAAAAAATTATTAAAAAGTAGGCGTAGAAAAGTGAAAATAGACTATAATTATAAAAACAAAATATTACTGTAATAGGAAAAATAAATAAATGAAAATAAATTAAGTTTTATAATTACCCCTCTCTATTAATTACCCACTAATAATTTAAAAAATTAAGAGTTTAAAAAATAAATTCTACAAACAACATCGTCGCATCATTCACAACTTGCTAATTATATACCTAAAAATTTTTCTTTACCAGATATTATGCTAATTTTCTTTCTCAAAATATTATTTAAAATTTAAAACATTTCCTATCTAGTTAAATTATGTTAAATTTATTTTTAAAATTCCTCTTCTTGACTGGAAATAAAGAAAAAGATTGTTTTATATAGGGATTTCTCTTCTTTTGACAACATCCTAAGGAATAAAAACAAAGGTATGTATTATTACGAAACTAAACATTATTACGAAACTTGCTCGCTCTTTCTTTTTCTCTTTAAATTCTTTTGCTTTTTTATGCAAAATTTCTTTTAGGCTTTTTCCCGCGACTGGAAAATAATGAAATGGAATTTCAGTGAAATACCTATTTTACAACACATCAATTATTTTATGGAATATTTTCTTAAAAAAGGATTTCACATTTCTTTCTTCATTCTTTAAAATTCTAAGAAATTTAATACTTTTGAATTAGTCTCTAATTTTGAATTTATTTTATTATTAATGTCTCCTCCACCTTCGAAGAAAGCACGACATTTCTTCATTGATAATCTATTACAGAAAGGTGATGGTGATTATGTAAAACATTTGGGTGAAGAAACCAAAATCACCCGGAAATTTAACCTTACCAAACTGTCTACTAAATTCTTAATTTCGAATATCCCACCCGATCCTGAGGGTTTATTAAAAGGAATTTTCCAAGAATGCATCGACAAAACATTGGAGACGAGTCATGGTCATCAGCTTGAACCAGATCAACTTGGCTGTACAGTGAGCAGTCAATTGTTAGAATCAGATATTTGGATTCCAATACGTGAAATTACTCCCAACACGGTGGATTCAATTCTTAACCAATTTCTAAAAGTGGCCCAATCTAAAAAACAGGATCAGGGAATGCTTTGGGGTGAACCATTTACCGTTTCTGTTACAGCTATTGACAAAAAACATCTGCCTACAACACGTTCTATTAATGGTAGTGGCAAAAATCCATCACCAATTCGACATAAAGTTAAAGACCACAACCTCATTAAAATTATTAATTCAGACAACTACTGTTTATTTCGATCATTGTCTGCCACCTTTAAATTTTCAACATGCTCATGGCCGAAATGGAAGTTCTATGACTATATGCATAGCAGATTAGGAATGAAGAAACGTTTGGAACATGATACAACATTCTTGATGGAAAATGTAGGAGCTCCTCTTGATTTAACAACATATGATGCAAATGAATGGGTACCCAAGGTGGTTGATTATTGGAATTCAAGGAATGATGGCCTGTTTAAAGTTTTTATTTTTGGAGAATTAGATGAAAAACCTATCTTTAAATATGGGGATGAAAATCACACTACTCCAATTCTTCTTTATTACAACAATAATCATTTTGATGGAGTTAGAAAAGCAAGCGATTTATTTGGTAAACCTTATTGCCTATCATGTGAGATAATTTACAACCGCCCAAAAGATCATTCTATCACCTGCACATCAAAATGTCAAAATTGCTCCAGGATCGGACCCAATTACCCATGCCAGCCTTTAGATAACTACTCAAAACTATGTAATAGGTGTTTTAAGGAATTTAATAATGAAGAGTGCTATGACCATCACATCAATTCTAATTTCTGCAACAACTCCAAAAAATGTGAGAAATGTGGAGTGATATGGTATGTGAAGGACAACAACAAGAATGGGCGCAGTGGACATGTTTGTTCAGAACGTTACTGCACCACCTGCTTTAGCTTCCATGACCCAAAAAGAGGTTGTTACATTAAATCTCTAACTCAAAGGAAGCCAAAACCCTACCGAGTCATCGCTTTTGACTTTGAAACCATGCAACACAGGCAAGACGAAAAAGGGAAATTACATGAAGTGAATTTTATATCTGCAAAAATCATCTGCCCCGAGTGTATTAGTAACGGAAACAACGATTGTACTATTTGCGGAGAAGAACGAACTATAACCTTCTCCCACCAACCATTTTCCAACACTCAAGTCGATCAACAAAATGTTACTAATGATCCTCTGACTGATTTTGTAACCTGGATCACTAATTTTTCTACTGATACAATAGCCTTCTCTCATTTTGGAGGAAGGTTTGATATGGTCCTAGTCTTCAAGGCATTGTATCTCAAAGGTCTAATCCCAGAAATGATTAAGAAAGGTAACAAAATGTATGAGATGAAGGTGAAGAACAATAAAAAATGCTGGGTCATCTTCAGAGACACATACAATTTAATGCCAATGCCGTTGGCTTCACTAGTACCAGCCTTTGCTCTTAAAATGGAAGACAAACCTTTCTTCCCTCATCTGGCCAACAACCCAAAGAATTATGGGAAAGAAATCTTTCCGACAAAAGAAGATTACCTTGCTAATGGGATGATGCCTGAAAAGAGGGCTCAGTTCGATAAATGGTTTGACCAACATAAAAATGAGCCCTTCAACTTAAATGAACAACTAGCAGCATATTGTATCAACGATGTGGAGATCCTCATGGCTGCGCTCATTGCCTTCAGAACGGAATTTTTGGAAGTCTCCAATGGCTTGG